CCATATTTTGAAAATAAGTTACACGAGGCACAAAGAATTGCCGTAGATGATCTGAAAATTTGTCCACAAACACAAATTTTGACGTGTTTTCACATGATTAGCACCCCCCTCCCCCCAGTATGAACAATCCTTTTTTTTTGCAACAACTTAGTCACGTAGAAAGTTGTTCCAGCCTCATAGGTGGAAATAAGATTACATGGTATGAGCATGAGCTTATATCAAATAACGCAAAGCATCAATTCCAGTAGCAAGCGCCATTTTTCGAAAATATACAAACGAGGGTCATCTAGGGAGGTGCCCTGTCAATTTTTTCGCGATCCAAAAATGGTATAGAAATAAATTAATTGTACCATTGAATTCAGTAAATTCACAGCTTTAATACATACCGCCGATTTTTAAAAATTGAATCAAAATGAAAGAATCACTGCAAAGACTTCAACACAAAAAATTAGGCACACCGGCAAACGCGAGTCGCCAGCCGCATGGAGACATTATTATTGAAAAATGTCATCGAAGACGGCAAAATGCAGGGAATTTCAGAGACTTCAATGCAACGATGAAAAGTAGGCGTACCGACAAATGCAAGTTGCTCAACTTATGAAGACATTCTTCGTCAATAAAAGTTTGATCATGTTGAGGACCACCACGACGGCAACATGCAGCTAGGAATCACTTCAAAGACTTCAACGCAGCGCAGAAAAGTAGACGTTACGACAAATGCGACCTTATTAATGCATGTAGACCTTATTTAAATGGTACGCATAAGTGCTTTGTCTGTATACCTTCGATTGGCGAAAACTGCGATTTGCAATGAGTGCGACTCGTAATGGCTGCAAATGCGGCAAAGTTTAGGGGAGGGGGATTCGTTAAAACCTTGCGGGGGGGGGGATTTCGCTAAATACGTGAAGACACGCAAAAAGTTGTGCCCGTGGGCAAATTTTCAGATCTTTAACGGCAAGCCTTTGTGCCTCGCATGTCATTTTGATCGGCGAGAATCGCGATTTGCAATGAGTGAGACTGATTACAGTTTATAAAATTTTCCGATAGCTTGCAATTTTCAGCAAATAATTTAATTTTCGAAACCTCAAAAATTACCCCAGATTTAGGGGATGACCACATGGGCCGCGGCCCATGGCGGCAAATTTAGGGGGCGGCAAATTTTGCAATTTTTTTAAATATAGCTATAAAGAAAAATCGGATTCAAAGGAATTATTACAAACGAAAAAGGTGACAAAATCTCTCATTTCCCCAGAGTATATCTCTAATTTTTTCGTCTTCCTGTGATACAATAGACAGCACCTTTAATTAGTCGAGTTAAGACTAAGAGAGAAACCGAACACAGAATTTGGCCTGGAACAGCAGAGCATTTGGCGCAGAGAGCAATGATGACGAGAACTCGAGATGAACAGGAGAAACCCACGGCGCGGCGGTCGGCACGTAACACTTATTGGCGCCTACAAGACTGCATGAATACTTCACGCATTGCGTCAAAGATAGTGCGGTCGCTGCGGTCAGCAGCGGGCGGCGTAAGACGCATAGCGCCTACAAGACTGCATGAATACTTCACGCATTACGTCAAACTTAGTGCGTGCAGCAGCGGTCGGCGTGAAACGCATAGCGCAAACAAGACTGTAGGAATACTTCACGCATTGCGCCAAACACGGTGCAATCAGTGCGGCGCGGCGGCGGAAGTTAAAATTATTAAAGCACTGTTATGTTTGTGCTTTCATAATATTTTCGTTCATTTCTTGTAAATCGAAGGCCTTGTCCACACAGAGATAGGTTTACGAAACTTAAGTTTCGTGCCAAGTAACGTGAATTTTTGCTAATAGTTTTGACAGGGCTTTCGCAAAAAATGTGTTTAACAAGAGTAAACGCGTCTTATGCACCCCTCCCCCTCCGGCACGTTCACTTGATGGTTTTTATTGATGTTAAAAAACGATTGAGAAGGGGGCGGCAGAATACAGACGGCCCATGGGCGGCAAGCAAGTCAATCCGGCCCTGACGCCAATTAAGCTAATTTTTTGGGAAAAGCCTCCTTTTGCATCAAATTAAAGTCTTTTCACCAGCCGTTATGTAATTCGGTTCATGAATAATATCACAAGGTAAAATTGATGCAAAAATGGTGAAATTAGAGGAGACGAAAATGAAAATGCTCTAAGTATTTGGAACCTCAGAAAATGAATTTTTTTTTTTACGATTTCGACAAATGTTCATCATTTTTACCCTGAAAATAACATCCCCTATAGCCGCACACGATTCCGAGGGACATATTTTTTCGGATGACCATTATGCCTGAGGCACTGAATTCAACGATCAATAAAATGAGCGTTCACATGTGAAAGCAATAGGCAATCTGCGATGCAAAATAATGTACGACTTTTTCAATTTTATTGCAATAAATTTAGTGAATTATTTGGTAAATCATCCTTTTCTCCGTTCTCTTTTTTTTTATTCCTCTCATTTTTCATATGCTTCTCCTCGGACAGGAATAATTAAAGGCAAACAGATTGAAGGAGATATCGTGAAAGGAACGCTTATTTATTACCGTTTTCAGAGAAACTGTAATTGCGCTTGAAACCAAATTAGAACTCACTTTATACACAACATTATAGCATACCATTCATGAATTTGAATGAGTTGTCGGATAAGTTAATGAAGTCCAAATGGAAGTTACTTGTCTGCAACAAAATAAAAAATGCCGATTTAAACGGTTCGACCAGTGCACGGGGGACGATACCACTATTCGACCACGCGGGATCGTGTGTTGCCTACACTATGAATTGAAGGCAAACTGACATGGCGTTATCGTAATCTTTCTCGTTTGATAAGAAGTTATTTTTCAGAGTTCTGACTCAAGATGACTCTACGTATTTGTCATTTCTTCTCTCTCCTCTCTTCTTCCTCTTTCTCTTATGTCCTTCTCCTCTCATTTCTTTTTCCTTCTTTCTTATTTTTTCTCCCCCTTTTTGATGTTCTTCCTCCACATTCGCTTTCCTCTTTGCTGTGGCTGCAACGGGACGCTTAAAACGGAAGGGAACACTCATGTGGCTCCCCATTTCCTGTATGGGTTACGTATCCCTTTCCGGTATGTTCCGCGTATCCGCTTCCGGTATGAGCGATGCAAGACAACGATGATTGGTGACTGCTGCCTCAGTTTTGTTTATGTTTTGATTTTGTATTGCATCATTGCAGCACGCTCACGCTTCACACGCTTGCTCCTTGCTCTCATTATCGTTTATCCTTTTAGTTTTAGTTGTGTTTCTCATTTCTGCAGTTGTGTTTTTGTGCAAAGCAAGCTCAATTTTCTACGTCTTGTGTCTAATTGTTTTGCCCTTTTCGCTCAATCGTAAGCATAATCATTTTCTTTTCATTTTTTCGTATAGTTACACTTGTCGTTCAAGTATCGAATGCAAGCTTAATTAGGTTGACTCTTTTAGCCTTACTATACTACAACACTGGCATTCTTTGACTTTTCAGTCTAGATATATCATGGATACTTTAATTTATCCCAATCAAATAGATAACTCTTTTTGTCATTGTTAATTTTTGTGTTTGGAAGAGAGTGTAGAGTACGGTCGTCTCAACTCCACACTCCTGGTAACAAACTTACCTGGTATGATGTGGGTTTCCTTTTGAAACCTCTCAGTGCATCATTTGGGTAACCTGCTAGACTAAAAGCAGGTACTTACTTACATTCTCTTATCATGGGGAAAAGTAACTAATTAGAAAATGGACTATCCCAAGATGTATACTGGGATCACTGTAGAAGAAACCATTGGAGCCGGATAGACCATATTTTTTCATTCAGTAATGACCGATGTAAAAGCTCTATAAATATCTGAAATTTTTGTCAACTTTTATGAAACATTTCTGGCCATTCATACATTTTTTGTCAATGTTTCAGATGCCCTCTCATATCAAGGAAATGCTGCTTAAATATCTGGTTGAGTGGATTGATCGTGTAAAGAAGACACTTAAGTTTCGGACAAACCATTATCCCAAAAGACTAGCGCTGGCAACAGAGGCGGTACTTAATCTAATCAGATGTTATCACTCATGGTTGCTAAAATGTGCCAGATTCTGAGAAAAAGGACCTTATCTTCCAAATATTCAAAATTGAGTTACCTATGGATACCACTGCATAGAGGAAGAAAATCTGGATATTTTGACGCAAGTTATTGACCCTGTTAGCGGAATAATTGTGAAAGATATGATGTGATATGATGTCTTGAAGTTCAAGACAAAAATTCATAAATTTTAGGTTATATTTTTAGGTTAAGGTCTTAACCTTCAGTTTTTTCATGATATCAGATCCTTATCAACAAAAAGGGCTTGAGCAATTGTCAAGAACATTTGAATATAAAGTGAAATGCTATTTTGCTAACTGATTGAAATCAAAATAAAGGAATGTTCTTTTCCCAGTTTATCAGAGGTTTAATAATCAAGAGACGCCTCCGTGTTTACAAGAGAGAGAAGTATCTGTCCTATCAGAAGTTTCACCGCAAAAAGGTTGAATTGAAACTTTTTGATCGAATCTCTCACTTTTGGGATAAGTAAGTGTCACATACATAATTTCTGCTTGTTTCAATCATAGCCTTCCTACACTTAGCCACGCATCAATTATTTTCTAAGACAAATTATCTGTACTTCTCTCGTGTGAAAGATTCATTAATCCCTTTTTACATAAAGGAACGAACAAGAACAAGACTTGGCTACGGCTTGTCTTTTAGTCACACAAACCAAAAGATATTTTTTCGAATAACTCCTTTTACCCTATTTGTGTGCTAATGTTATTTATGTTAATTTTAACTCAATTATTCTTTTTAAAATTTTTTTAGCTACCTTTTCTGTGGTTTGTGCAAATTATGGCTCTCCAAATTTTTGAACCAATTTGCTGCCTGGAAGAAGTTTCAAAAGTTCCGAATACGAATTACAACTGATGGGACCCTTGAAAATCGTACTTGCACAAGCACTCTTGGGATCTTTGGTGGATTGATCCTTGCTTATTGCGTTTTTACTTTTCTGGTATTTGAGATGAATTTTTCTTATTCGAAAACCCTGATTCTATGTTGCGTCTTGGGCTCATTTTTATCAGTCGGGCTAGCCGTATCTGCTAATGTAAGGTAAGTTTTCAAATTTTCTAGTAATTGTTCTTATACTTTACTTACATCAGAAAGTTCTTTGAAAGTTCTTTGAGTGAATTGCCATGTCATTTCCTGAAAATATTCAGCTTTCCGCATGTACCTCCAGGCGGGTTCATTTATGTCCCTGTTCTTGTTGCTATTTTTTTAAATACAATTTTTGGTATAATTTGACTGGAGGCATGAATATCCCATCTATTATTTTTTCCAACAACTTATTTCCGTAGTTTACTTATGTAAGTACATACCTTTATTATTTTTACCATCTTGAGTATTTTTCAATCTTATATATCAAGACTCATTCCACTTTATCTTGACATAATCTCGTTCAGGAGTTGATCTCCAATATTCCTGATTCGTGAATTGTTATCAATGTAAAATTTTGAAGAGAAAAATGGGAGCATATGACATATTTTTCTAGTTCAGATCTTGTCGATTTGCCCAATGTGAAGATGAAGACGCCAGATTGCAAGAAATATCTAGTAAGCTTTTTTGAACTTTCTTGCACCCCATGTTACGAGATCATAACAAACGTTTGTTTTAATTTTTAGATGCGTAGTATTGATGGCACTACCTGAGTTGTTTACTCAAAGAGGACGGCAAGCTCTGCTGGCATATGCTCTACTTTTGACAATGACAGGGCCATCCAAAAATGTATTACACAATACAAAAGTTTTAACCGAATCCTTAGCCTGCACTGTGGTAAGTGGAGCAAATAGTTTGTTTCTAATATAAATCACAAACAATCGTAATTCATAAAAGTTTATTCTTGAAATCAAAAGCTGATTCAATATTCATTGTTAATTTGGTCTTAATCATCCTACTAGAAATACATTAGAAAGCTAGAAGAATACATAAAGAAAGAAAGAAAGAAAGAAAAAAAAATGAAATGTGTACTTATATGTTTCATTTTCTCTTACTGTTTAATTATTTTTTTCAAAGTTCTTGTTGTATTGTTCTTTTACAGTGGCGAAATTTGACTTTTTGTGGCCCCAAGAGATGTAGAATTATCCAGCCTCCTTGATGATTATAGTGAGAGAAAGTATGTGCAAAGGATAGTTTGGAGTGCCTTCCTGTGGAAAATTTTTAACAAATAATATCTCTTAGTTAAAATATTTGATCTATTTTTTGTTAAATCTGACCAGTGGAGTCAACCATTTTTCACCTTTCCAAAATGTGTCATCTCTAAAATATGCTGTCCGGAAGTAACTGCTTTGGTTGTCTGTCCTGTAAATCCAGGCATAATGATTGTTGGAGCTATTTTTTTCCTATTAAATCTCATATTTACAAACTCTTTTATTTCCAAAACTTAGGAGCAATTGAAAGTTGCAACTCAAGGATTGCGAGAGCTCATAAAAGCACCATTTTATGCAATAAAAGCAGCTCTTGTGGCAATAGTAAAAGCATTCAAGGTAATAGTTAAGAAGGTCAAGGAAATGTTACTGGCAATTAAAAGAATTATGGTCAGTCTAGGTAAGTATTCCCTATAATTTACCGTAGTAATCGTTGTAAAACAGTCGCTTTATTTGGACCCTCAAATTATTAGATTTATTGTAACTAATGAAACAATTATTTTATAAAACTACTGTAGGTATCAGTGTTTCATTAATTTATCACCTCTTGGAAATGCATAATAATATGAACCCTGCCTTTTTTGCAAGGTTTTGTCGAATTTTTCTACGAGTGTTCTTTAATGAAATTACTCCTTTTTCTCGATTTTTTTTCAAACTACACAACTAGGGCTGTGTATATTATCTACTTATTGAGACCCAATTTATCAAAAAAAATGGATCAAAGAGTTTTTCAAAATATTTCTCTCTAATACCTGAATCCCTTGCATATATTATTCTATGCTTGGATCTTAACAATATCTATATCATAAATAGTAATTTTCTAATACCTAATAGATACTTAATTAATCAATAAACAATAAATTAAAGATACATTAATCTAATTGCTGTTTCAATTTTTAATTTTTTATGTAAAAAAAGTGAATTTTATTTTTTATGTTTTGCAGTTAGGGTGATCGAATCTGCTGTAGAATGGTTACTAGGAGGTGTAAGTACCTGCAATGACAAATTTGGCTCTCCTTTTCAACGTTGCATCAGTTCGATAGAAGAAGCAGTGGCAGGGTGTAAGGTATATACTTACTATTTATTATTGCATGTTGTCAGTCATAGTATATAAAATCACAGTCAGTATTACAATGAAATGTGTCTGATCCTATTTTTGGAACTTCCTCCCTCCTCTCTCATAAAAATAAAACACATATAATACAAAATCTGATTGTAAGTTTTTTTTTTTTTTTTTTTTTTTTTTTTTTAACATACCTATTCGTTGAATCTCTATTTCAGGTACCTAGGTATATATTCTTTTTTGTACTACCAAAGATTCTATTTTGTTTTCAGCATCACTCATTTTGAGCTACTGCCTGTTTTATTTCATGAAATTTAAGTTATTTGTGTTGCTTATATTTGAATATTATTACATACTTGTAACTCAACAGCAATTTGTTTCTATCAATGTGAATTTTTTTTTTTCAGTCATCGGTACCCAAATGGGCAGATTTGTGCTCTGCAGCCTATGCAGTTGATTTAGTGTGCTACCCAGTGAAATTTGTGGATTACTTCTGTGAATTTGTATCATTCATATCTGATGACGTTCTCGCTGGAATCCGGAGAAGTAAGTTTTCGTATCGATTTATTTTCTTTCCTGTGTGAATCACTTTTCTGATTAAAGCTGAAAAATCTAATCTTGCAATACATATGGTTTCCTCAGTAAAACAAATGCTGCAAGCTTTAGACTTAGACTAGCCGTTCTGTACGTGCTTTGCCCATTCTACCTGATTAACCAGGGAGCTCTGTCATGTGAACAATCATCATTTGCCTCACATTCCTTTTGCCCACGCATTATTTTGAAAAAATTTGGGAAAGTTTTTTCGTGCAACGTTCAGTTTTTATTTTAAGAATGGAAGTAGGGGCTAAAGGTTCCATACAAAAATGGAAAGGCAACAAAAACAGATTTTAAAAATTGGAAAGCCTCCTTGCCTTAGCCTTAAAATAACCTGAAGTAAAAATTGCGCATTTTCTAAAATTGGGGCAATTCGTCCATAAGTAGCAAAAAAAAAGTCGTCACTTTGTAATTTTGGTGAAAATAGGGTTTTTAAAATGGAAAGACTAATTTGAAAACTGGGAAGGGTAAGAATGTGTTGCATCTCTGAATAGAAATATGCACCCAAAATTAGTAAAGTTTCTCTGAATAATGAATTTTGTAAAGCTGTTCTTTCCTAAACATTCACGGAATCATTTACTTTCCCCACCATAGAGATTAAAGAGTTCGAACGGAAGCTAAAAACTATGTTCTATGTCAAAATAACATTCAGCCACTCCTTTTCCTTTCAAACCAATCAAACTAAAACAGTACGTGATGTTGCAAGTGACATTATTGCTGAAGTCAAGAAGAGAACGCATTGGTTCACTCACCTATTTACTTGGATGAGTTTCACTTTCATGATCCTCCTGTTGTATGTGATATACCAGTAAGTCTCTTTCCTTCAATTCCAATCCTTACTCTTTGTCTCCAACCTCTCATTATTTTCAATCATTTTTTTCTTACCTTACAATTTTTAAAACCCATCCACCTAATCAAATCAAGTAAAACTTACACGGCATGTTTGATTTAACAGTCTCTTTTGCCAAAGCCTTGATTTTTATGGGAACTCAGCATTTTAAAACGAATCCCTATCAGTGAGCTATCAATAAGCTTTTTCATGAATTTCAATTACTGTCGCTGGCGACTCCACCAAACTTGCCAGAGCTCTTGCATCGTCTTTGTTCTCTACACTTTTGTCCTTATATTGACCTGTCTTGCAGGTTGCAAATGGCTCCCTAGAGAGTATTTTCAGCAATGTTTTTAAGGTTTCCGCAGGATCAGGCTTGAGCCATGTTGATGGTCTCACAGGCGCTTTCTCCTTTGATTCAGAGAGAAATATTCAAAGCATAAAATTTACCAATATGCATAAAATCATTATCCCTGTGCTCTAGAGGAATTGAGAACTTATGCCTCTCTAGTTACAATTGAGGGGCTTGGAGGACAAGGCGTGTAAGTGCAGTTTTTGAAATAAATTGAGATACTAATGATTTCAAGTAAAACTAGTCTCAATGCATATTCCAAGAAAAATCCGCTCCCAAATTCCAGTTTTTAAGCATCCAAAAATCAGTTTGAATATTCTTTCTTCCATTAGGATTGGTGTAATTTCAAAACTTCAAACATGTATTTCTGAAAGTAGCAAAAACTGCACTTCTGCGCCTTGTACTCCGAGTCTCTCAATTTTTAAGCTGCAGCGGCATAGCAAAATTTTATGATTTCTGACACCAAGTTTAGTTAGTGTGAGTACATGCCTGCAGCAGCTTAATTGTTGAAACTTTAACTGGCTATGTCGACAAGATAAGACAAGTGTAATATATCGATTTTCGATTCTTGTCAGGCTGACATAAATTTCAACAATCAACAGCCAGGAGAGGCTATATTTTTTAGTATATACGAGCTATTATTTGAGAGAAACTCAAATATCTACTCTCGACTCAAATTTCCCCGGAAAAAAATGGCCAGTTTTCCTAAGAAATATTTTACCACTCTTTTAAAAGTTAACTCAGAGGAGAATTTAACAATCTTTTATTTGAATATTTATAATTAAGTATCATTTTAAAATCTCTATATTTGTTATGTTTCAGAGTGATATACTATCGCATCAGGTATCTCTCCAGCCTCTCATTTGATAATAAGTATCTCACAGATAATTTCTATGAAATCGATTTTAAAAGGACACGACAAGATCTTGACACGGTTATACCTTTAACTCGTTATGAGCGTTCTCAGTACATCGAGGTTAGTAGCTACCCTTGACCTGCCTTATTGTTGCATTTTTTCTATTAATATACTTTCCCTCCTGATAGTAGTAGCTTCCTTTGGTGGTTTAATGTGGTTTTAGTCAAGGAAGTTATACTGAGACAGAATAATCACAACTTTGAAATTATCCTTTTTCATCCACAGTCCCTCCTCTTCTTTTAATTGTGCCAAATGACGTTTGAATTTTACTGACTTTCTTTATCAAAAGGTAGCTTGCTCATAGTTATTTGGTTTAGTCAATTTCAGTGGAAGAATTCCTCTAAAAAAATGGCAAATTTAGAAAATAGAGAAATTATAGAATCAACCATCGACTTTTTTGAAATTTTGCAGCTCATTGACTATTATTATTAATTTTCTTTTTGGTCTCATTTAAAAAATATTTTCAACTAGCCCCAAATTTGCAATTATTCTTGCCTATATTGTGCATACAACTTGTTTTGAGAATAATTTGTATTTTCTCAGAAGAATTTCAATCAGTACATGCAAAATTTTTCAAATAACTTTTCATAATTATGAATTTATTTGTTTCCAGTTGACGAGTATAAGACTCTTGAAGAAAGAAAGAGAATCCCTTCTCAATTCCTTTTGGTTTTTATTCTTGACTGGGTACAGGCTTGGAGTTCATATGCTACTGGATTTTGCATTATATTGGATTCTCTCGTTAATCCATAGATATGGCCGCTTGCAAGTCAATGTGGATAGTAATAGATTTTTTATCTACATAGTTTTGTTAGCTACTTAAACCATGCACGAATAAAAGGTGTACAAGCTTGCATATCTAAGGATGATTTGAATGGCATAATGCAAACAGGAACCATCAGCTTCTACATAATAAGAGAGGAAATCAGCTTGCTAATATTATGAAGTAATGCCTTTTCTTGGCTTCAAAGTGACCTATTTTAGGAAACGACTCATAAGTACCTGTAAAAACTTTATTGGTATGCGGTGATCATTTTGTTCATTTTCCACTCGTCGTGTCAGATTTTTTATTTTGCAAGGAGCCACAAGCTGGTTCCTGATGGATTACTGCATATATACCGAGGAATTTTTACAGGCATTTTTGGATTGTTCCCTTAATATGGACCACTTTAAAGTGAAGAAAACTCTCCTTTTCCAACACACTTACTTATGTTCCTTTTTGCACGATGAAATCCATTTTTCATTTAATTAATATATAGTAAACACTGCTCAGAGCTGATCTTTTGTGATTTTTTGCTCCCTTAGGCAGTAATAAATCCTCAGTGATTTTGTTAAAGAGCCATTCAATTGGAATTGTATCTCACTTTTTTTCCTTTTTTTTATTTCTATAAAGCAGTTTGTAGTACTTCTCAAAAAAGGAGTTCAATTTGTTGTTCAAATGTTGTGTAATCAGTCCTACAGGTTGAGCTTTTCCAGTGTTTAAAATTAAGTATTTCATAACCAGAAAAATCATCAGTGATCAAATGTACAGGTTTTCCCAGTGTCTATAAAAATGAGTGTATTTCAGACCTACACACAATATGACTCAAGATCTTACCTTTTACTCATGTCCTCAGCAGGCTTTGAATTATTGTCATTTCATTTCTTCTCTAATTTTGTTTTTAGTTCCAAAATCCATCAATATGCTTGCAAAGGGAAACGGAATGTTAGCTGATATGTATCGAAGTGTGGCGAAAGCACTCAAACCTTTGGGTTTGGAAATGCATATGGATACTTTACCTTGTCTTCCGATTCCCTCACCTCCAGATTGGTACCGATATAAACAAATATGTAAGTTTCTATCAAAGGATAGTACACTCTGAAGTTGTAGTGCTTACTTTAAATACGTTCCTAAATGATAAGTGATTGCAGAGTGCCTCTTCGCTCCTCCAGTTTAGGGAGACAAGAAATCTGAAGGAAAAAGCTCAGGTTGATTCTAGTGCTGAGAAGGAGGTAGGATCTGCATAGTTGCCAGGAATCTTATTTTATCTATCGCTGTAAACTTTTTCTGTAGCATTCGCACACTGCAGTTTTAGTGTGGGTCGTTCTTTGTCCGTACAGCGATTGATTGCTGTTTAGAATGGATTTTTCTTTCTTGCTACATCCAAGTGACCTTTGGCTCCCCCGATCATCTCTACATTTGTTGACCTCTTTGTGTTGTTACCCCAATCTACAAATAATGCCAGAAACCACTCAAGGAAATGGTTTTTTGACAGTCTTCTTGCAAAATTGAACTTTCTGCAGTTTTAGGCAATTTAAAAATAATAAAAAAAAAAAGTCTTCAAAACACCCATGATGTTCAAAATTGAACTAGAAAAGAAAAAAAAAAAAAAAAAAAAAAAAAAAAAAAAAACAGCTATCGTTAGGGATTAAGTGAAAACGAGGGAAATTATATAGAACCAAATGGTCATGTAGATGTGATAGATAATTCTTCTAATTGCCATCAATAGAGATATCAGCAGCTTGCTCTACTGATCACCTGTAGCCAGTTTGTTGAAATTTATGTCGCCACAACAAGAGACGAAAATCAATCAATTACACAGCTCAGAGAGGGTTATATCTTGTCTTATCTCGCTGACAAAGTCAGTTGAAGTCTCAACAATCTGGCTGCTGTTGAGCCTCATTATTTCACTCTGAAAGAGTTCCTTTAAGAGCTCGGTTTTCACTTCCATGATTTTATCATGTCGACATGATTTCACAGGCAGGGCGAAATAAATCCATTCAGAAGTAAAATTCAAAGAACATGAGCATAGAATTGTTGCTGTATTAAATCCATTTTAATGGAAAAACTTTATATTTTTAAAATACATGTATGAATCTAATTTTGGTCATTGATTCCCTTCCCAGGGGCCCTCATGGGTCTGATATCACTTCTTACACTACTTCAACCATATGCAAAACGTATACGGAATATGGTCATGTCACATTATCATCCTGATGTTGCCAAGGAAAGATCAGTCTGGCTCTACAACCATATTCTAAGATCTCGCGGTAATTTTCTCTCTTTCGCTCGAAGGCGGTTGCGGCGTATGTTCGGTCTTCGAGAAAAGATGCCTCAAGATGAAATCTCTCTAGCGCAGAGGTGTTTTGCCATGTAAGATCCATCAGGATAAATTCGTTTTATTATTCAACCACAAGACTATGAATTTTATTCAATGTAATTTATCAAGTTAAATTGTCATAAACCAGAAATTCTCTGGGGGAGGAAAAAGAGTGGCAACCCTGCAAATTTTCTGATGCACATTTTAATTCTTGAACAACAGAATACCTCTTTTTTAGAATCAATGCTTCGTTAAAGTCTGGGGTTTTCTCTTATCTTTGTAGTTTTGTCAATATTTCTTTTTATCATTCTTTTTTATGTAAATCATTTTTCCGCTCAGGTTTCCCTTTCTTGACTGGTTCTTGGAACAAGATCAAGGGAAAGTCTGCTTGCTTGACGGTGAGTCCGGGACAGCTGATGATGAATTGGTTCATTGCTCTAAGGCGGACTGTATTGGTCTATATCACGGCAAATGCTATCAGGAGTTAAATAATGACTGCACCATTTGTCGTAAGCCAATTGAATATGGGGATTTATCTGACATAAGTGAAGAAAAGTAAGTTTTCTTTTAATTTTTTTGTATACATTAATGTTTTTCACATTCTTTTTTCACATTTTATTGATAAATATATGTTTATGTATATGTTTCACACAACATATATTCACACAAAGCAACTTGTATTCAACATATTGTAAAAGTGTTCTGTTGGCGAAAAAAGGACATTAGTTTTGATGCTAAGAACGCTAAACTTCATCAATCATGGGAATCGCAAAAACATTGCAAGACAATTTCCAAAATCCTACAGGCAAAAGACCACTTTTGGGAGGGGGGAATGTAGAAATAAACCTCCACTGCTACAATTCGATTAACAACGGGTTATGCATTTTGCTGTCGTTTCAAGGCTAAGTACCACAGTTCACATTGTGTCAGAAAATTATTTTCAAAATAGGTATCATGGGAGGCAGAAAGTTGTGGTCCAAAAATTGTGAATCACATTTCAATCAAAACGGGCTTTTCTCTTTCATAATTAGCTAAAGGAAGTCTCATTTTTTTTCCTGTTGATAAAATAAATGAATTTCCATCAAATGACAGCTTATAAAAAATTTTAATCTTTTGTCTCATTGATTTTAAATACATGCGTTCATCATCCCCCAGTGAGCCTTTTGCACTAATAAATGGATTTTGATGGAGTGAACGGCTGTAAAAACTATTCTTCAAATATATTCTGATGTACATCAGTATCATGCATTTGCAAATTTGACAATCACCACCAACCATGCCCAAAAGTTTGGAGAAACTGTGTTCTGCTGAAAATAGTGATTCAATCTGAGAAATAGGGCACCTCACAAAATTTTCAGCCTTACCGCTACCAATCGTACTTTACACATCACATTTTCCGCTACTGAGTCTTAATCCACTCTAAACCTGTTTCAGAGACTCTTCTGATGATGGCGAAGAGAATGATAATCGTAATGCAGCTCATTACAGTCATGTCAATGTTCATTCTGTTGAAAATCATCGTGATTCCGATAAAGGTTTGTATTTAAAAAACTTTTCTACAAAATACAATGATTGAAAATCTTTGCAAAAACACAACAGCAGGTAAAGCATTTCTGAGGTGAATTGCTTATAATCCATCAATTCATTTTGTCGAATAATTACAGTTTAGACTCCCAAAGTGTCAAAAAAACCGAGTTAGAAGCATGAAGCAAAAATTTATATGTGGAATTATATGTAGAATTTATTTGTTTTATTTGTCGGCCTTCTATGGTGTAGTGGTTGTAGGGCTAGCTCTATGATCGGGAGGTCCCGGGTTCGATTCCCAGCCAGGCAACCCGAGTTCGACAGTCTCAAACAATGGTTACCTGGGACTGGTTGCAGGGACAGAGGGGGGACAGGACTAAAGCGCAAGGGTTAGCCCTTGTGGGCTACTTGAAGTAGAAAAAAGAAAAAAAAAAGAAATTCAAGCTCTAAATATTGTCGTTACCTGTTTGAATTTGTGTGCTTTCTGCAATGTCTGCAGTGTAACATGAAAGATAATTCCAATTGCATTTTTCGTCTTATTTCAGAGGGTATTTTGCCAAATGAGGCAAGCTCCACAGGCAGCTCTCAATATTCCTACTCTTATCAAGACAAAGAATTCATTGAACACAGAAACGCGCCGCTCATTGTGCGTCGTGCTTTTGAGGACCTTGAAGCCCAGAAATTAGTTAAATATGTCTCAAAGAGTGATGACTTAGCCGTTGATCAGGTAAAAATTTATTTATCATTGCAATGAGGCTCATTTTTTTAAAATTCATTTTTGGAATGCATGTAAAAATGAGGACACTTACAATTTTCCGTTTTCTATCAAATCAAATTTCAGCTGAAGAAACGATTAATCTCAGTTACTAAAAATCCAACTCCATTCAAATGTGAAAATATTGCGCTAATAGGTTTCATGATGTTATGTTAAGAATCGATCACCATGTATCCTTCCACCCGCATTTTTTTATTGACTCTCCTGTTGCAATTGTAGCAACAGGTTATGTGTCCTGACTATGCCCCTGGCTTTACTGCTGTCGCAAGTAAATAATTTCAGAACAGTTGCTAAGATCAGTTGTAACACAGAGAGTCTGAACGTAATTCTTACCTGTTTTTTGCTCAAATTCAATTTTTTCTCTTCTATCTATGCAAAGCCTGCAGGCTAAAATATGCCTTTTTCTGGAAACATGCAGAAGGCTGTGGAAATGATCTGATGATAACATATGCAAAATTTTTATCTCTGATAAACTATTAACATCGACTTTGTATACGGAAGAGAACTTTATTACCTACAGCAACAAAGCTTACCACGATGTAGCAGTTGGCCTGCATATTTATGAAAAGTAATGGGTTTTTTTTCACCTCCATTAATTTGCTTCACTTTTTTTTATTCTTTACTCTCTAAAAATTTTGAGTACACATTACATGCAGGGGCCTTCTACGTAGAAAATAATGGTAAGTTCATGTAATGATGTTGATTCCCCTCCTTTTTTTGGCGATCGGTCCATTTGTTCAAACAGAAGAAGCTTAAAATTGCAACAATTTAGGTCTCAATTTTCCCTCTATCTTTTTCTAGGATTTGACTCGTGCCTCTTCAGATGCGTCCTCAGGAGAAAAGTCAAATACCAGCTCAGAGATGGCTGACGAAGACTCTGCAATCACCATCGAGCCAGAAACATCCTCTAAAAGACATTCCAGTCTTTTAAAAGTCAACTTACAAAATTCAAAATTGAGCAAAACTGATAAATCTGCTATGATTAAAAATTACTTCAATAAATTAGAAGACTATAATTCCGCAAAGATGTCTGTAGTGGAATCAAGCGTACAACGTGAAAATAATCAATCAAATGGAATCATTAGGAGTCAAATTGCAGAAAAAATTCAAGATCATGACTCAATTAGCTATAGTAGTGTAGCAGAACTTAGTTCTGAATCAGATTCTCAACAAGAAATAGTGAATGATGAACATCTTTCCTCATCAAATTCCAGGGAAGAATTGAAAGTTATACAAGGGGAAACAGGCTTTGACGTCAATAGCAGCGGTAGCTCATCAGAATCTATTGTATCTTCCTCAGAATTCAATAGGAAATTACTGCAGAAAAGAAATAAGAAGAAAAAATCATTTTTACCAAGATGGCTAAGATAGAGAATAATATTAAGTATCGTATACTCTTGTTGTATCTTTTAATTTTTGTTAAGTACAAATGATTGTAATCAACATTTAAAATATACTATGAAAGTTGTTAAGGTAATGTTTTCCTCTTATTGATTTCTCATCAATAAATGTTACTTTGCCCATCTCCAAAAACATAGTTATTTGGTTTTTCTAAAAATGTATGCTACAAATTTCCAAAAGTTTTATGCAAAAGTTTTGTAGGATCCAATGTTATAAATTTTTTTTTTTTTTTGCAGGTATGAAATGTCACCAACTTTCAAAACTTCCTTCACAACATTTTTTAAAACAATAGAACACCATAGATTTAGGAGAATAGATCTGCCCCTCAACCAACTGTTTCTTAACTCATTGGTGGTTAGTTTTGTCAAAAATCAACTCTCTAGTTCTAGAGAGCTTTGAAACTTTAAGCTGGTATGGCTTTTTATTTCCTTTTAATGATAGTGAAATTGCAAGAAAGGGTATCTTTTCAGTGTCTCAAAATCCCCCATTTTACTTTGCCCCAGGGAAGACAAATCCACGCTATTCCTTGAAATTCTCACAGAATATTCTAATCCATTGAATGTTTAATGGCTTAATAACAATTAACAAACCACAATACCAATCACGAAACGCAATGATTATGAAACCGAATTTGTTTAACTCTGAGAGAGAATTTTTTTTCCTGTCTCTAGGTATCTCCTAGTTTCAAATTTCCTCGAAGGGAAACGAGCCATGTGTCCCAGGAAATAATAAATAGTGAACAGGAGCGGCCCAGTAGCTCCCCTAGGATGGACCGTTTTTGAACTTTTTTCGAAATTCCAAGATGGCTAGTGCAAAAAAGTTACGTTTTGGCATCAGAATAACGCTCAATTTTTTCAAAATTTTTGGTCGATGTCCTGAGCCTGCCCCGACGCCATCTTTGTTGCCAAATTTTGTATTTTTCGAGAAATTGCCAGGACTCTGTTTAAGGCCCGGCAAACGCGTAGAATTAATCAAAATGCAATTTAAAATACTTATAATATCATTTCAAGCGATACAGGTCAGGATATGACACCCCCACCGTGCAGGGAATGCCTTAGGGGACGCAATCTTGGACCGCTGAAATTCCTTAAAAATTCGCCTGAATACTAATTTAATCACCTTAAATTTTTTGAACTTTGCCCGAGATTTGGGGGACTTGAAAACGCAATTTTGAACTTATTAAGATGTGTTGAGGCAAAGTTAGGGGAAATTGGTTCATTTCGCGGGAAAATCGTATGACCATTGAACTGACGTATTTGGGGGTCCAAATCCCCCCCCCCCCCCCGAAATTAGTTTGAGGTGATTTCTGTGATTTTTACTTAAAAGTGCTTACAATTTGCTAAATTTTCCAGTTTGCTAAATTATCAAAAATAAATCCTCCCCTCACACTTCATCCAGACTTGGGACTGGCACAAATACTAAAATCACTTCAGTTGTCTGTAAAGCATTTTAGGGTGTTCCTGATGCTTTTTCCATTAATTGAATAATACCGATTTCCAAATCCGTCCCAATTAAATCTCCTCTGGGATCTCTGTAAAAATCTCCATAAGTAAGCAAAAAACATGTTTTCATTAGGCCTCATCCACACAAGCGACGATTCGTGGAACTTCTGCGCATCGTTTTTCGCCCCTTTTTTTGTGTGCAGACGTAATAAGTTATAATTCAGCTATAACTTATTTCGCCAAAGCTTCGGGTGCTTTGCGCGTGTGAACAAGGCCTAGCAGAAGTGCAGTTATGCGAAAATTTAACTTAAGAAACATGGAGAAATCACATTGAACGGGCGTTCACTTCGGTGGGAAATCAGAAGTCTGCACCTGCGGGCTGATTGTTGAAATTGATAGACAAAACTACGGACAAAGAAGACTAAGGGGCGATATGGAGGGATCCTGGTGGAAGCGGGTGGCTCAAATGGACAAAGGAGAAAGGTAATTAAAAGACTAAAGGAAAGTAAAAGACTAACTAACGGCAACACACGAGAGACCCTATAGTTAGTTCACCATTTATCCCCTTCTTCTATGAGGACCATAAAGAGGTTAATTGTTCCAAAAACGCCGATTTTGGCCCCCCCCTGGATTTGGCCCAAACTTTGCTCAGATGTTGTACTAGGTGTCCTCGATGCTTGGGCAAAATTTCAGCCCCCTCGGATAATTAGGGGGGAGGGGGCAGGGGGGCAAAGTTGCAATTTTTTCAAAACTTTAAAAATCGATATCTCGCGAACGGTTTGAGTGTAAGTGTTGCGGTTTGCGCTAAAAAACGTTAAAAAATATTCTCTACACGAATATTGATGCTGTTTGCATGGTTGCGTAATTTATCGTAGTCATAAATCGATTTTTTCGATTTTGAAGGTTCGACTTTTTTTCGTTTTTCGTCTCTCCTCTCCAGGCGATTGTTGCTATGTGAATAAAAACCAGTTGAGGTGATTCTCCATAAAATTTTGCATCTACCACACTTTGTTTGACCTTGGGGAAACGATTCATTCTTGAGTTATAGCGATTTTTCTGCGCGTTCCCGGTTACGCGCGGGCGGCATATCGGCGGCGCTTCATCCCCCCCGGGCGAGGCAGAGGTTGTTTCACTGCTAGGGCCTTATATTAATGCTGTAGGCTGTAATTATTGATATTTTCTCCTTCTCCCACCCTTCCCCTCCTATAAATATGTTTTTTATACTTCGTTATACAGGGTGTCCCGGACCACCCGTACCAGGTCTTTTTCTCGGTTGGTTTAGGTAGTACGAAGTGGGGGACCGCGGGGTTAAACAGGGAATTGACCCCAAGGTATCCGAATTTCATGGTCCCGAAGCCCCCCTACCCTCCCTTGGGGGGTAAAAGAGGGAGGCACAATGTCTCCCGACTTTAGGGATCGTGACCCCCTCTTTACCCCCCAAGGGAGGGTAGGGGGGCTTCGGGACCATGAAATTCGGATACCTTGGGGTCAATTCCCTGTTTAACCCCGCGGTCCCCCACTTCGTACTACCTAAACCAACCGAGAAAAAGACCTGGTACGGGTGGTCCGGGACACCCTGTATAACGAAGTATAAAAAACATATTTATAGGAGGGGAAGGGTGGGAGAAGGAGAAAATATCAATAATTACAGCCTACAGCATTAATATAAGGCCCTAGCAGTGAAACAACCTCTGCCTCGCCCGGGGGGGATGAAGCGCCGCCGATATGCCGCCCGCGCGTAACCGGGAACGCGCAGAAAAATCGCTATAACTCAAGAATGAATCGTTTCCCCAAGGTCAAACAAAGTGTGGTAGATGCAAAATTTTATGGAGAATCACCTCAACTGGTTTTTATTCACATAGCAACAATCGCCTGGAGAGGAGAGACGAAAAACGAAAAAAAGTCGAACCTTCAAAATCGAAAAAATCGATTTATGACTACGATAAATTACGCAACCATGCAAACAGCATCAATATTCGTGTAGAGAATATTTTTTAACGTTTTTTAGCGCAAACCGCAACACTTACACTCAAACCGTTCGCGAGATATCGATTTTTAAAGTTTTGAAAAAATTGCAACTTTGCCCCCCTGCCCCCTCCCCCCTAATTATCCGAGGGGGCTGAAATTTTGCCCAAGCATCGAGGACACCTAGTACAACATCTGAGCAAAGTTTGGGCCAAATCCAGGGGGGGGGCCAAAATCGGCGTTTTTGGAACAACCTCTTTCAACCAGTCGGGTCGCTCCATACGCCCTATGTCTTCTTTGTCTATCGCTTTGTCTAGCAATTTCAACAATCATCCCGCTGATCCGTGAGAGGTGAGCCCAAAATCGTCTGGTTACTGTAGCTATCGTGCGGCAACCTAACAGACAATTGTCAAATTCTCTCAAATTTTCTCTTTTCTTTTCAAAATATCGTTAGAAAAATGACAGCGACAAAATACCTATGGTTTAAAAAATGACTGTCAAATTCCGGCAAGGACAAATATTTGACATCGACTTTTGTTCAGTTTCTGATTTTAGTTTTTGTGGTGGTTTAGAGGCTTTGCGTCTCTGTTTTCTGATTGAAATTTAAAATAAAAGGCGGAAAATTTTTTTACACAAATAATAGCGGGAAAAAAAAGAAGGGAGGAAAAAAAAATAAAAATATTATCCGCAAGTTGCATACGCGGGAGCCCACACAACTCCACGACCTCAGGTGATTTGCGAGATCTGCAAGTCTGCAACGACAAATCGACGATTGTAGGTGTGTTTGCCTACCTAGCTATTTGTAGGCGCAAGTGAGGCATTCAGATATCCAATGGCGCGGCGCGGCGTCCGCTTGGGCTTGGCTTGCAATTGGCGGTTTTTTGAGCTTTGGAATTATTTTTTTGACGATTCGAGTTATTTTAGTATTTATTGACCGTTGTAATGCCAGACAACGGAGATTGTTTGCAAGGTCATCCCTCACTATCCGAATTCCTCTGTGGGAATATGTAAAATGTTTTGATGACAAAGCTTTGATGACAAAGTGTCGGATCAGTGAGCTTTTTAAGTCATCAGACGCTTTTTCAGCGGTATGGCGGAGAGGACCATACATAGAGCATAATGCATAATTCTTAGTGCTTAATGCTAAGAATAATGCGTTGACTGGTTAAATTGTTCTAAATTCTTGGAGTAAAGTCCTCTCCTAAATTTTGAAAAATACTATGAGAAAAAGTCGCGCGCCAGGTCCAAAAGGCAGCAACAACATTTGCAGAAGTCAATGACACACCGCACAATACACCAGATTTGCTGAACACGCTCATCCAAACCTTCCTGTTGATTATACCACTCTCTCATTCCATCCCACTGTGCTCCAATTTTTTTCGAGGAAGTTTTGAGAAATTGAACAAAGCGGCTAAGTCTTGAATCTCGGGGTGGTTTTGCAAGTGGTTTGTTCAGAAAAGCGGGGAAAGTGTCGGGCTGGTCATCGTTTGTCGGTTCGGTCGGAATCTCTTCAAGCTCGAAGTCGAGGTGGTCACCGGACTCCAAGTCAACCTCGTTAGAATTCATTTTTTTAAGGCACAGCGGGAGCGTTCACTTCACAGGTCCTTCCTCTTCCAGACGACAAACACAACTGACCGGTTCAATGACACCTGGTTCAATTTATACCTTTTTTCAAGACCCGATCTGCGAGCGACCGCCGCCCGCCGCACCGCGCCGATCAGCGGAGTCTTGTGCTGAGCTGACGTCACCGCTAGCCAATCAGAATGCATAATTTTTCGCATACAAAACTGATTCTCTTCCTCTCTTTTTTGCCTGCCTGCTCTGCGCTCGTCGCATTCAAACCGCAATTACGCTTGTCTCGTTGTCTGAGCATCCCACTGACCTTGAACCGTTTCAAATAATTTGATTTATGGAACTTGAACGTCGTTGCACCGATACCGTTCAAATACCAACTTCCACCGACTGTGACAGGACACCTCCGGGATGGGTCTGGTATCGGAGACTGGAGAGTACGATCTGATGCAGGAAATACCCTAGCTGGAAAATATTTTCGGAAAATTCCCCTCCTCCGATCCGCCCCGGACCGATGCGAATCTTTTATACTGTCGAAGATCGGAAAACTGTACTGACCGAATTTTGATACGACTTTTCGTTTTCGAGAAAATTCGGCTTTTACCTAAGTCGCATGCGTATCTTATGGGTATATACGAGTTTTTATGCTTGCTTAAATAAATGGGGTTGGTAGTTTACTCTTGACTTTTATTATTGACAGGTTGTATGTTTGATGTTAAAAACACGTATATGACGCAATTAAATTTTCCTTACAACGTTGTCAGATTGTGCAAAATAAATTTCGATTTTCGGACTAGTAAAAATTTAGCATCAATAGACCATCACCTCCGGTATGGGTCAGGTATGACTGGACTGGAGTGTAAGGTCTGATTCGGGAAATTAAAAGATATAACCAAGTTGCCGGACGGTGCACATAATTAAATGATTTATTTATCGATGAAATTTTGCAACATCGAATTTTACAGTGTTGCCAGATGGTGCAAGAAATTAAATATTTTCCTTACATTGTTGTCAAATTAGGCAAAAAATTCGGATTTTTGGACTTGTAAAATTTTCGGCATCGATAGACCATATCCTTTGGGATGGGTCTGGTATCGGAGACTGGAGAAGAGGGTCTAATTCAGGAAATACCCTCGCTGGAAAATATTCTCGGAAAATTCCTCTCCTCCAATCCGCCCCGGACCGATGTGATTCTTTTACACTATCGAAGATCGGAAAACTGTACTGACCGAATTTTGATACGACTTTTCGTTTTCGAGAAAATTTGACTTTTACCTAAGTCGCATGCGTATCTTATGTGTATACATGAGGTTTTTATGCTTGCTTAAATAAATAGGGTAGGTAGTTTACTCTTGACTTTTACTATTGACAGGTTGTATGTTTGATGTTAAAAACACGTATGTGACGGAAATAATTTTTCCTTACAATGTTGTCAGATTGTGCAAAATAAATTTCGATTTTCGGACTTTTAAAATTGTCGGCATCAATAGACCCTCTCCTCCTCTTCCTTCACGAGATAAAGTCGAGTATTTAACCGGCATTAAAATAATAAGTGCACTCAATTGACAATTAGACACATTATTTTAACTAAACAATCATGACCAATGGAGTATTCAACAAAATATCGCACAATCCGTTTACCTACACTTCTTCTTCCTCACTCAGTGGGTCCTAGGAGTAAAAGGACCATACTTGGTATTGGGAAAAATGCCTCGTAAGTGGGATTTTTCCCTGGGACAAATCTCGTGAAAAGGCCCGTGGAGACAAGACCGAACGCAGAAGAAAAACGGGGTAAAAAAATACTAATGCGTGATCAATTTTCAAGGACAATTCTGTAATTTCTTTAACAATTTTAAATTGATTAAAACGCGTAATATCCAAAATCTAAGCTCACATTTGGATTCCCCGTGAAAAACTGATGCGATTTCATGTATTATGTTAGAATAGCGTGAAGGAAAGAGGTTTAATGACGTAAAAAAACACTAATGTGTGATCAATTTTCAAGGACAATTCTGTAATTTCTCCTACGATTTTAAGTAGATTAAAACGCGTAATATCCAAAATCTAAGCTCAGATTCGGATTCCTCGTGAAAAATTGATGAGATTTCATGTATCATATGTTAAAATAGCGTGAAGGAAAAAGGTTTAACGACGCGTGTAGATTCTGTCATACTTTCCCTTTGAACTACGCCGCCGCGGCGCTTAGCGTTCGGTTTCGTCCCGAGGAATTCCTCACGATAAATTCTTATTCTTCCTCCTCCGCTGACCCACTGAGCACTACCCATGTTGCCACGTTGCATTCATATGCTCGAATCAGTATGCCTACGTTACGTGTCTATCCTTCACGCTATGCTCGGGTATGATACATGAAATCGCATCGATTTTCAACGAGGAATCCGAATCTGAGCTTCGATTTTGGATATCACGCGTTTTAAGTCACATGCTCCAAATTCGAAAATCCGAAATGACGGGCGTGGCTTAAAATGCTATCTCGGGTCCTGTTCGATGGATTTTTCTGAAATTCGGTGCCAGGGTATGATACATGAAATCGCATCGATTTTTTACAAGGAATCCGAATCTGAGCTTCGATTTTGGGTATCACGCGTTTTAAATCAAAATCTGTCAAAATTCAAAAAATTCAAAATTCGAAAATCCGAAATGACTGAAGTGGCGTAAAATGCTATCTCGGCTCCTGTTCGATGGAATTTTCTGAAATTAGGTGTCAGGGGGTATTTTTCGACGGGAAACTCGAATTTTTAGTCAATTTTTTAAAATTCTCAACTCCAAGATGTTGAATGTGGCCTAAAATGAGCCGCCCTGGTTCTGGCCTCGGTTTCTGTTTGTTAGAGCTTTGTGAACCGCGGGATCAGGGGTACTGACAATGAGATGAGATTTGCGCTCAATATATCAACGCCCGTCAGATTGAATTTGCGCGCGCTTCTTTCAACCGTCCCGCGAAGTTTCGACTATCGATCAAGTGGCTCGATCTAGGCTCGATCTATCGCTGGAAAATGGAGCAAAATTTTCTAACCTCAACCTCAACTGCGCGATCTTCAAATTTCCCTTTCTGCGATTCAGCGATCTAATAATTTGGTGATTTCTTTTGTGACTCTTTAAGATTCAAAGCATCTTGCACTATGTGATCAATTCCCTACTTTCTTCCCTAACATTTCAAGTGAATTTCCCTAGAATTGTAAGTGCGTTTTAGCATTCAGTGACAGATTCGACCTCTTTGGAAAAGTGCGATTTTGGTGGAAGTCCAACCATTTTCACAATGGTTTTGATCAAAGAATACAGAACATGCATGCCCCTAACTGTGGAAGAGGTAAAATTTGTCTTTTAACTTACACCCTCATTCTCTCTTGATACCACCTTGATGATCAATTGTTTTTGTTACCGTTAGCAATGACATCTCCTGCAAGTTTGCAGGGTTCATGTTCTCGGCAGTCCGTCTGCATTATTTAACATTCCTAGCGTCACCTCAGGATCTCCACTTCATTACTTGAATTGATTTTATTACACTCTGCCGTTTTGTCTCCTATCATTACCAAATTGTGTGAAGTACCCAAGGCATCAGAGCTTGACACTGGATGCAACCCTGTCGTTCTATTGGTGAAGTCATCAATTGTCACTTAATTGATTACCTCAGAGCTTGCTGCATTATTGTTTAAGTATTGGTTTATTTAAGGACATATTCTAATCATATAACTAATTGACTTATTGAATGGATTAATTAATACCAGAGTGTTAGGTGTATAAGGGAGCGCCCATGAAAGAAAGAAATTCGAAAGAGGCACGGCCATAAGTTTCTTTCTTACATGGAGCGCCCCTGAAGTAAGTAATGTCACTGTCAAATATCACTTACTGACTGTGTGAGTCCATGAAAACTCCACATATAAGAGTCTTACAGTTGCAAGCTATGATTTCTTCTCAGATTATGTCAAGTATTAGCTGCACTTACTTAAAGTTTAAGGCATTAGCAATTAGCTGAACATGTAAAACCAACAAGTAGCCCCTGTTTTGACACTTAAAACTCCTGGCTAACATCAGTCGAGCAATTCAAAATCACTCTCATGTCCTTAGAGTGAAGGAAAAATTGCATCTACAGCCTGTCTTGCATCAATTCAAATGCCTCAATATGTTAACCATGGTACTTCATAGTTCAAAATATCGAAGTTCTTGTCAGGTCAGCTGATACTGAAGTATTTACTTTTGAGTATCTCGTGTAGTGGACCGTCTGAGGTATATATGCATAGCTTGGTCACTTGGTCAATCCTCAATGGCTATACGATGGTGGTAGTAGTATTGCTGGTAGAAGTTAAATCAACAAGTGACAACTTAAGTCTCACTTGATATCCAACAGACTGTGATTACTTTTGGTACCGGGTCTCCCTGAATTAATCGCTCAAGTTCTCTTAGAAATCTTTATTTTAAAAATTTGGTGTTTTTTTTTTTTTTTTTTAGTATCAAATAGGTCAGCTGTATATGATTGCTAGGCATAGCAATGAACAAACTGAATCCGGTGAAGGTGTAGAAACTGTTGTCAATGTTGCCTGTGAAGATTCAACTCATGGCAAAGGTCAATATACCGAAAAACGTATCCACTTATCTAGGTAAGTCTTAAAGATTAAGGATCTTCATATGAATGGCACAGGTTGAATAATACATCTATAACTTCAAAAACACTGCTCTAGCTGGATGCCTTAGTGTCATTTTGGTGGACAACTTTTGTCTCTCATCGGCACTGCTTTTTTCTTGGATTCAGTTTGTAACAAAGTAGGGAGAAAAAATCTCTATTTGACTCTCAATTTTTTGCGTTAACTTTCTTAAGTGAAACTCTTATTGTTTGAGTGTTTGTTCGTTGCAAATAGTTTTGTGGTTCAATGTGTTTTGAACGTTGCTCCAAAACCTAGATGTTCACTCATTAGGTAACAATAAGCATAATTTAACAGCTAGCCTTTCATGAGAGGATGTATACCTTTTGCTAATCTATAATCTACCATTTTCCTAAATTTAGACTTTCCTTAGTTTACTAAGACACCAGGAAAGTATATTGTCATCAATCAGTCGCTTGACTATTCTCACTCATATCACGCATCTTGGCCTAAACAATATTTCTGATTGAATCTTGTTTTCAAGTTAGGCAAATTCAGTGGCCGCCTGTGGTGTAGTGTTCGCAGCGCTCATTCAGGAGGTCCCGGGTTTGATTCCTGGCTAGGCGACCCGAGTCTGATGGTCTCAAACAACGTTTGCCTTGGGCTGGTACTTGGTAGGGACGGAGGTGGCGGGGCTCTAAGTGTAAGCGCAGGATTATCACCTGTGTGGTGTTTGAAGTAGTAAAAAAAAAAGAAAAAGTAACAACATCATTCGAAGGTTCCAAAAATAAGAACCATTTTGTATAGATTGCTCTGCTGTGCCTTTGAGGAGGGCACTATTTAACCAGATTAAGCCACTAATCTCTATCAATGATCCACTCCATTGAGGAAAAGCCTAGGATTAAAAATATCATGGGACATTTATATTTAATTAAGATCATGACTTATACATCTCCTCCTTTTGTTTTTCCAGTCAGTTACCGTACTGGGTCCAGTCACTAATACCGAAAGTATTTTACGTCACAGAAAAGGCCTGGAACTATTACCCTTTTACTATAACAGGTAAACATGAAATTTCTATATTTATCTTTCCATGTTCTGTTGCTTAATCATTCTGAATCATGTGTTAAATATCTGAGAAAAGGAATTTCTGGTTGCTGCGTTTTTATTGTGTTGCATACTGAAACTCAATCATTCAGTCTGACGAAGAAAAAAAAAAAACAATTAACCCGAAAAATTTTAGGCATATGATGATAAAAAAGACAATCAGCTTATGGTAAAAGAAAAAGTTTCTCAAAGTAAAGGTAAAAACCGATTAAGTGACTTCTGCATGATTTCCTCCTGATAGGATAAAGTGGTGATACTAAGTCAAGTATCCCATTTTGTATACTTCGTATCTAAAAGTTAGAATTTGAAAATGAAAATTTTCTCATCTGAGAGTTTTCAAACAACAGAGTTTTTTACATTCTTGTCCTTTCTTTCTGTTCGCCCTAAAAGCTGAAATTTAATGGTTCAATAGAGAGTTCAGATCTATGAGAGTGCACAATGTTGCCTTTTAATGCACAAGACAAACATTCCTTTTCCCCAACATCATTTAGTTTATTTTCATTGAAATTTAGCAGCAATGTTGCTCTTGTGAACCAAAGATCCTCTTCAGAAATTCCATGCGTTTATTACTGCATCATCTAAGCCTCACCATTTGTTTTCCTTTTTTTTTTTTTTTTTTTTTTTTTTTTTTTTTTTTATTTAAGTATACCGTAATTTCTAATTAAAATGTTATTTTTCTTTTGTTTCATGGTTTTCCGGAATTTTCTCGCTCGCAGAATACACAGTAAGAATCTTTATCTATTTACTACAACATACTTACATACTACAACTTTATCTATTTCATAGTAAGAATTATAACTAATGTACAGATCCTTTCACACACAGGTCAAGTGTACCGCATGACTCAGTGTGAAGCACTTGGTCAATGAAGTATATTTTTGGATCTGTGTTGTGCAACACAAATCAGCAATCTCTGAATAGTAGATGGAGTGCAAGATGACAGCAAAATAGAGAACATTTTCACCTACAAGTTGCCGTTCACAAAATCCATAAGAAAGTGCTTGGTTGCAAGTTGTCATCTATAATTTATAATATTTTTAATGTTGGGTCCTAAACTGCTACCAAACAGGGAACTGCCTCGTAAATTAGTAAAATCTTTTTAAGCCAGGATACCCTTACCAGCAACTTCAGCTTTAAACCCACTGTGATATATCATTCCCCCAAATCTTCAATATTTGACGTACAATGCCAGGGTTAGTATTTATTTCTTCAGGAAAGAGCAGTTCTTCCAAGGGTTGTGGTTTTTCTGTAATCTTTCAAGACACATAATTAGTGCTGACTATTGATATGGGTCAACTAGTTGGTTCGCTATCAAATTCAGCAAACTTAATCCTTATGTTTAACTGATTCTATAGAACAGTGTTTCAATGTTTATTATTTTAATTTTTGTTCTGTATTTTTGACAGTGTTCCTTCTTGCCGAAATTTACCGTATCTATAAGGACAAAATTCGAAGATAATAACGGCTCTAACGATAATGTAAGTGCAATGTTTCAGTAGCTCTCTCCTTTTTTTTTTGGATTTAAACCTAGATAAAATTTCAAAGGCAAAAGATCTAGAGCCTAGGAAGATCTAGGGATAAAGGCAGGAAATGAGGAGATGCGATCTGCCGGAGGAGCTCTGGCAGGATCGCTATCAGTGGCGGTTGGGTGTCACAGAGCGCACAGAAGCGCTATAAGAGCGACTTGTTAGTTAGTTAGTAAAAGATCTAGAGTCCTCAAATACAATTTTCAGGTTCTTCACCAGCAAGAAAAATGTTTGCCTTTAAGTAAAAAATCACTGAAATCAACTCTTAACTAAAATGTTAACGTTTTTGTCCCTACTAGTCATGAGAAATTTGAAATCCCTGATTCCCTGCTCACAAGAAAAACAATAGCCTATTAGAATTAAACTGCTCATTACAACAGTTCTGACAAGCTTCTTAATAAAGCAATTTTCCTTCCCCACCATGTGTCGTTCAAAATATTAACAACAGGCAAGAACTCAAGCAAAGCACCAAGATCAAGGTTGCCATATTTTAATACCGCAAAGATTGTTACCATAACATTCAGTACAGTTCTCACATAGACTTTATTTTTTTCATGAGCAGTAGGATTGAATTTCTGCATCGTAAAATGTTAATTGTCTCAGTTAGGAGTTGATTTAAATGATTTTCGTCACGCCAATCATGTTCTACCTGAAATTTTGATTAGAAACCAAGTATCAAAATGCTTTTCAGCTTTTTCCTTTGTAAAAAGCAATAGTAAGGGTTTATTTAACCTTTTTTTCCTTATTTATTTTCAGTGTTTGAATCTGTCAGAAACAGAATTGGCGCTTAGAGAAGTTGATGTCATAGATATTGCCTATGATGAAATCAATCCTAAACATTATAAAGAAGAGGAGGTGAGTGGAACATTTAACTAAGCCAGTTCTCCTTTCAATGTTTTCAGAAAAAAACAATCAAAGGCAATGAATTTTTTCCCCAATTGATCGGGAAATATTTGCATTGCAGAAATACCTACATTGAGAAATTTATCAAAGATAAAATCCATAAGTATTGATTTTGCTTTATCTGTTTGTACCAGCCACTTTATGGCGTGTCAATTTGTTTTCTTCATTTTAAAAAGCTTTCTCAGTAATTTTCAACCACCCTAAATCATTAAAAGAGCAGTTTTCTTTCATCCTTTTGACAAGATTCATACAATTATCAAATCTGTAAACTATTTAGCTTATAAAAAGAAAAAAAAAATTCAATGAATCTGAAATGCTTCTCTCCTACTCTCTAACTTGTAACCCCGCTGTAGCAGCGGCCTTGATTCTCAGATTATAGCCTATTAACCAACAGTAATCGTCAGCAATATTGTTGATCTCATTCATGCCATCTTTATAATGTCATCAATTCATAATGCATAGAATAATATTGTGTCTCATTGGTACCATTCATTTGATATCATTTGATTAGTTAAAACATACCTAATCATAATTAAAACGTACCGTAAATGGGTAAAGATTTTCATCACAGTTGACAACAACTGAATATTGTTTTAAAGATTTCAGTAATCTGTTAGAAGTTTCATTTATGACAACAAATGATTTCAAATGGCTTCCCTTTATTTAAATTTCAGGATCTGCGTTTTTTTCAATCCAAGAAAACTGGTCGAGGACCTCTTGCGGAAGGCTGGAGAGACACAATCACACCTATAATGTGTTCATATAAAGTTGTAGAAGCATCTTTTGAAGTTTGGGGACTCCAGACAAAAGTAGAAGACATAATTCAAAAGGTTTGTTTTCATTTCTTCCTCTGACGTAATATTGCGGCACCATATTTCAATTTCACGGATGTATGTGCTTCATGTACTCCTGATCAGGGATTTAGAGCTGAGGTTTGAGGGAGCATCATAAACGGAGTCGCATCGGCGCGCAAGGCGGAGGCCCGGCGCGGACTTTCATGCTGCGTCGAACAATGCGCCGGGGGAGCGCATTTGCCGTTGAGGCGGCTTAATCTGGTGAAGCCGACACCGGGCTGATTTTCTGATGCTGCATCAGTTTTGATGCTGAGTCCAGCATCAAAATTGAGGCGGCTTCAATTAGCAGACACGTCGGACGCCAGCGCCCCGGGCCCGGCTGCTGGTCGGCTAATTGCACCGGGCTGTGTTTTCAACCCTTCCTCGGCGTCCACTTCTTAGAACTTCTTGGCGAGGCGTGGGCCGCCGCCAAGACAAAGGGGTGTTCCGCGATTTCATCGCCAAGTCCGAGGGTCGCGGTCTTCTGGGACAGCCCCGTCGATAATTAAGCTGGGTGGCGGGTCCGAAAATTGAGGCCGTATCGGGCCGCAAGCCGAGGGTCCGGCCTCAGAAGTTGAAGCCCATGTTGGTCCCTGAGCCAGCATCAAACCTCAGCATCAGCGCTTAATGCTGGCTCGGTCGGCACTCCAGTATCGGGCTTCAATGCCCGAAGCCGGCGCCGGCAGGTTGCGCGCATAAGGCGCGGCGCAGCATGCCCGCACGGCCGCTACCTGGGCATACGGCATTAATGCTGAAGCTACGAGTCGATGCTGTACAGCATAACCTCATGAGGCGCCTCAAATGCCTGCTCCTGATAAGAAACTATTTTTCGACTTGAGCTACTATCTCTCTTCTCTAGACTTCTTTTTTTGTATGTACCACAATCAAGCATGTACAAAGTTTCACCGTGTAAATCCTTTTTCAAAGAGGAAAGATCAGTCATTGTGCAGATGAATGAAGCAGACCATCAAGACCAATCCCTGCATGACGTCACATGCCTGGCGTATGGCTCTTGTAGCGGCAAATGGCTCCATATGTTAACAGCACCATTTTGTGCTTGTGTAACCGTGACCTTTAATCTAGTCCAGTTTATTTTTGTGGATGGACGTCCATTCAGGATTTTCCAAGGCCTGTTTGGAATCCTTATGGTAGGTGTAAGGATTAAACTAGAATTCAAAAGTGCATAAGATAAGTCAAAAATTCTTTTCCATCATGGAAGATCAATGACATGAAAAAAAAATCATCTTTATTCCTCTCTACTTTTTTCACCCTCTTGGAAGTTACAGTTATATATATAAAGTCGCTATACAACGCACTCTGGCGTTCTCCGACACCCAAACGCCACATATGCCTGTCTTCCCAGAGGTTATCGGGCAACTGACACCGCAACATCTCTTCGTCAATGCCCTGCCGCTAACCCTTTACGGGACATTACAGTTTATTTTCTAATAACTCAGTTCTGAAAAAGTACATAATGCTCCTTTGGGTACAGATACGTCCATTTGCCTAATGTAGGGAGCAAGTTCTGAAATTATCATTTTCTTTCTTTCTTTTTTGCAGTCAATAAGAAACATTCTACTGTTAGGCCACAGGCAAGCGTTTGCCTGGATTGATGAGTGGTACGGTATGTCTCTAACAGACGTAAGGTTATATGAAAGCGAAATGCAGAGGCAAACCAACTCAAAAATCGTGATTGATGATGAACTCCTGACTCCGTCCTCACCACCGAAATTCCCGATGTCACCCTCGAGAGGTTGGTTCTCATGGTCCTAATACTCATTTGGTATGTATTCAGATACATAGCTCTACCAGAACTTCTCCCTTCTTGGAAATCACTCGCCGCAGCATTTTGTTCCTATCCGTTATTATTTCCATAGAGTATTGCAAGTTGGCAATTTTGTAATATGGCAAGTTGCAAATTGCTTTATCTTGATCGAATTTAAAATTATTTTGACTTGTCGTAAGTATTGATAAGCACATTTAGTGAATGAATTTATGTATTCCCATTGATTTGATTTTTGGCTGTACTGTTTTCAGCTTTCGTCTATTTAATTGGCGTACAAAATTTAATCAATGTATGAAAATTTGCATGAGAAAAACTGAAAGAAAAGTTCATAATCTTTGACTTGATATAGATAATTTTCCTGAGAAGATATTTTAGGTTGGGAAATGACAACAAGAATAACAGTGTATTGATAAAAATTAAGAATGTTATTTTGATTAAGGTGATGGGCTATAGTGCTGTAAGTCACAAAGATAATGGGTTAGCAAGTCATAATTTTTTATTTATTACTGCCTTACAACTCAAGATTGGCCTCACGGTCTCCATGCTCTTACGATCGCAAGATGAGGCATTTTCTACACCCCTGAATAATATCATACAAAAGAGGTCCATCTGTGTTGAAAGATATGAGATATCTGCTGAAGGCTAAGCCCTGTATTTGGAACACTCAGTTGTTACTCCGAGTAATGCTTTAGTAAAGTGAATTCAATGAAATCTGGCGCCTGTGAACTACGAACTTTAGATAAAATCCAGCACTATCATAGATTCTTAGATTCTTTTTCTGAACTCCTGTTGCAGGTAGACTTTATTATGAAATATAAAATATCAATGTGAAAAGCATATTTACATTACAAACCATTATTTTAAACATTCTTCAAAAATTCTTCTTGCAGCACAAAAATTATATGACTTTGAGTAGTAATTAGAACATGTTACTAAATGCATACATTAAAGTAGGTATTATTGTAAATAAATATGAGAGCTGTTTTTTCTGTTACGGAGCTATATCTAAGGATGGAAATGATGTGTACGTTAGAATAACCGTTACTATCCACTAAATATGCTGTTATTCAGCTGTGCTATTGAGTAAATGAAGACTGCTCGTTGCAAGCACTGATACTAATAATTTTAGAAGAGGCATCTTTAGTTTAAATTAGACCCATTAAGCTATTGCTATATGTATAGCTAGTGCAAGCAAGTAATAATTTTTTTGTATCATTTCTAATTCTTGAAAACAAGAGTTTTTATCTTTTTCCTCCTCGGTACTTACTTACCAGCTAATCTCATATTCTTTCATTTGATAAAATATCCGAACTATGGTGCAGCAGAATTCTACGCTTTGTGTGCTACATCGTTCAAAAATGTTTATTTAACTTATAGTTTACATAGATTCTCCTGAGAAAGTCGCTAAATAAAGAGGAATCAATGTGTTAGATGCTCCGTACGATGATGCAATTTTAGTCTCCAAAAAGTCTCAATTTTGCTGTTTTTTCACCATGTCAGCATTTTTAAGAACATTTGAATGTTGTCTTCAGCCTCACCACTTTTCAAGTACAATTTCGAACTCAGAGCTAGCAATGAATTTTGTTTATCAAAGCTTTGATATCCATCAAAGTGTTTGCCCTAATTTCCTTTTTTATGCATGTAGATTTTGATTGATACTCTTTGGAGACCAACTTTTAACATACGCATGTCATCTTTTTTTGTCTTTCATCTAAAAAGTTCCATGAGGCATTTTTCTCTATTGAAAGTTAAAAGCCAAAAGACGCTGATTAGATCGTGAATTAATTTTTAGTCGATGTAAGTAAATTGAGACATGACCTAGCTTATCTTTAAGTACCTTTTGTGCATCACTTCAAAGGGCCTGAATATGTCATTAAGAGTGAGGGTCTGAGTGAAGTCTAATAGTGCTCCCTGTATAAGAATGACTGAAAAGATGTGAATTGAGCACTCTTTTTCATTTGTGATATTGTCTCTGATGTGCAATATCTGGCTCATTGTTAGTTAAGGTTTTTTGGATGATACATCGTATTAAAAATTCCAATTCCAAACTAAATTTTTGGGTGTCAATATGTCCAAGAAACATGGATTGTACCTAGCTGTTACAACTATTGAAACAGTTATCAGCAGCAATCCTTACTTTGATGTTCGTTTCAAATAACTTTTTAATGCGTTAAGATTTTCAGGTTGTCTCCTTCAGGCAAAGCTTCCCTAATGGACAGCTTGAATTCAAGCGATGTAGATGATCTGAGGGGCTTAGAGGACAAGGTGCACAAGTACAGTTTTTACTATCATAAGAAATATGTAATTAAAGTTTCAAAATTACCTGGAAGTTCTAACAAACTTTTTGATGCTCACAAATTGAATTCTTCATTGAATATAGTTCAACCTTAATTTGTTTTAAAATCATCAGTATCTCGATTTTTTTGAGAAACTGCGCCTTGTTCCCCAAGCCCCTTGTTAGTGTTTTTTTTTTTTTTCATGTCCTATCATCAGTTTTTTCCCTCTGAGAAAATGTATTAACCCTGATGACTGTAATTATTTCAGTCTGAGATAGCGTTTTTTAGCAATTGTGCATTATATTCAGTATAAACCTGATCCTCTCATGATAGAGGGGAAAAAGGTCTTTCAAGCACAGTAACATCCTCCGTCTAAATTACTCATACATTAAAAACTTCTGTTCTTGGTAGACTTTTTTTTTTAAATGTTTAATTAGCAAACAAAATTTTTCTTTAATTGTATATTTAAATATCCTATCCGTTTTCCATACAGTTTATTTTGTCAAGGTAATGAAGAAAGAGATTCTAAAATTTTTATTTCTTACCCTAACTTATTTGACCATGGAAAAAAGGAAAATCTAGGGCATCATTTGTACTGCCAATCCATACCGAGTTAGATATTTTAAATTTCTTTTTATTGTTTCTGTATAAACTGTCTGATCTACCCAAATTATTTTAAAGTTTTTACTGGCTCAATCTTCTTTGAATGAATGAGTCTCATAAGCTATCACTGTTTTATTTAAGACAGTACAACTGTTCAATAATTACCAACCAACTTTTTACGAAGTGTAGAAATACATTTTTCAAGCGTCTAAATGGCACAGTATTCTCCTGATTGATGAGAGATAAAAACCTCTGTACTTAAATATTGTAGTTGAACGGCTTACAAAAAGACGTTTAATCTTGTTTCCATTCAAAAATAAATAATTGCACTTACCCTCCTGAAGGATCTACCTATTAATTTTTGAGAGAATATCCCTCTTTTTTCTGCCTACTTTGATTCTTCTAGAAAACCAAGTTAGTTTTGTCATGGTAGGTAGTTATCTCAGAAAAACTTTATTTTTCATTTTGAACTGAACAAAAACTTAATCATAATTTTGATTTATGATCTAATTGGAATAGAAGGCTATTGTTATGATTATTTCGATTCCTCCAACAAAAGATAAAACTCCTTCGTATATCCTTTTTACGCACGCAATCAATTCATGCTCTGTCTCTTGGGCAGCTCCTGTTTACTGCTCACTTACAAATGTTTTGTCTTGTTGTCTTGTCATCTGTTTGTTCCACGAAAGGTTTATTTTGTTTTTGCGACTTTTATTCAAAATAAATATTCCAAGAAAGAGAAAAGTTTCCATTTTTTTTTTTATTTTCTTAGTCTCCTTTTCCATTCATTATGCACATCTGTCCTAAGTTCTATGTTGGCGCATGCAGTGGAACCATGCATTGTATTAAAATTCTTCCTGCGTTGCCACCCTCAACTAAATTTGAACCTCCAGGGACAATTTTTGAGAAAATTGATTTTTTTTCTTTCTAAATGCAATCTGATGTAAGCTGGTAATATGAGTTCTGATGAGACTTTGATTTTAAAGTGGTAAATTCAAAGATCACCTCAAAGTTAAATAGCTTTAGGGAGAAAATGAAGAACATTAGTGGTACAAAGAACATTTTTTTTGCCTTCAAATTATTTAGCCGAGTCCACTTACTTAGGACTGAAGGGGATTTTTGGTTTGATGTTAGTCGATATGATTATTAGTACATATATTTGAGACAAAAATATGGCTCCAGTCAGGAAATCTTACCTACCATATTCTAGGAATTTAATCTTCCTTTGATGGTTCACTGCTAGTATACAAAATATGCTTTATAATTCAATGCCCTCAGAGTCACATGCAGTGCAATGATAGCAAGGGCTGCAAAGGATTCTGAAATGAACAAAAATTATCATTTACAGTATGATAATACTTTTTTCTTTCTCTACTAATGAGCATCTAGAAATATTTAAATGAATCAAATCAAAAGGAACAACGTATGCAGGATTTGCGTGCTGTTTATTTCATTTTCACCCAATTAATGAAATGTCTTATTCAGTGGGCACCATTTTCGAAATGAGGCAACTTCGCGCCGTCGTAGACGTCGCCAGGGAAGCTGAAGCTAACCTCACTTTTTACACGTGTGCCGCGCAAGCTGCATCTTGCGCCTTGAAGTAAGCAAGAAGCAAGCGGCGGTGTTGTTGTTTGATAACAAGTTACAAGGCGTAACCATCTTGGCTCCAGTTCCTTGGTCGTTCCCGTCATAGTAATTTTCCAATTAATTAATCATTTTAAATCACTGTGCGTCAAATACGTGAGGTTATTTTCCATCTATCTGCCTTTAGCTCGTTTCTCATTCGTATCCCACCTCTGTATCACACCGAGGCAGTTCCGCTCTTATCATCAGGCTCTTCTACAAGTAACTGTGACTGATAACTACACTTCACCACTTCACCCCCTCGAAAAGTTGGACAAAAGTTAGTACTGAAGAAATATTCAGAAGTAACTCAAAGTGCATTTCGACCTCTCACGCCTGAAAGACGTTTTTCATTTGCTTCTCTTGGTGTAATCTGAGGCATTCTGGAAGCTAGGATGGCCGGAAAAGTAAGTACCTCTTAACTTTTACTCTTACTTTTGAGATCACAGATCAACTTCTCTGGAATCTTGTTTTATGTATGCAAGGCGGTGTACTTTAGTGATCTCACCAAAGTTTGTGCATTGAAATTGATGCCTAGATGCAGTGTGCGTACTGACCATTGTTATGTAATCTGTCTTACCGCAGTTTTAACTAGGCTTAAGTTTTTCATCACATTAAGAATAGTGTTGGTAAGGTCAGAAAGGGGAAAATGCGCCACTTCCTAGATGTTACTCCATGGGAGCTTTCCGGAGATTTGTCGCAGCTTCAAATAGTGTAAAAGAGACTTGGGTGATTTTTCACCGCAGGGTTGGACTCTTGCAACATGAACACAGTTAAAAATTAATTAATCTACTTCAAATTTAGGCAGGAGATCGGGTAAAATTAAGTAAATGATTAGTAAAGTTGATCAAATGCAAACAAAAACAATCAATCGATTGAACAACAAAACGACAGAATTTGTTTTCGCTTCCTCTCTATCTCTCAGTTATAAGTACCTACTCTTTGAAACGGGGATGAATATTGAGTAAGTCAATATTCGCTGTGACTTTATTGGTGCGACTTTTCGCAGCAGCTGATTGCCCGTAAACGTCCCCTGAAGACAAGGCCTTAGAAATGCTGTTCCATACTCCTTCAGGAAATATTTGACAGCTAATGATCATACTTATTTCTCCCTCACTTATACTGGCAAGTCAGAACTTTGGAGAGCAAAGACTGGTTTGATTCAGAAAGTTTTGTTCTTTTTACGGTTCTCATCTCTGATCTGTTTATATTTATTGCGTTCCGCTAAATTACTCATCATCCCTTTGCTTTCAGACGATAACTTGTCGGGCTGCTGTGGCATGGGCTGAAAAAGAACCTTTGAAGATTGAAATGGTGAATGTAGCTCCCCCAAAAGCTGGAGAGGTCCGTGTCAAGATCTGCTCAACAGCTTTGTGCCATACTGACACTTACACCCTAGATGGTCATGACCCTGAAGGGCTTTTCCCTTGCATCCTTGGGCATGAGGGAGCAGGAATTGTTGAAAGTGTTGGAGAAGGCGTTGATTCATTTGCAGAAGGTATATATTCAGTCTTTATTTCCTGACTGACGGAAAGCAGAGGGATCCCTTTGTTTTTATCAGAAAAAGTGAGAGGCTCTCATCATCAGTCAAAATGTGTGTCAGTTGTAAATCATAATGGGCCTGTTGCTAACTTTTGCTAGAGCAAAAATAAGGGTTGTTTTTTATAGGTAGGTTATGTCTCAAAAATCACAATGAGCGCATTAGCAAACTCTGAAATGTTCTCCTAACTTCACAATTTGCTTAAGAAATATGCCTTTTTTTAAGCTTCCGGCTTCAAAAAGGATATTATAGCACAGGTGAACATTTCGTTAGAGGAGTCGTTCCATTCAATCCCTGCTCAACATGGCCGACGCTTTCACACGCAAGTTGAGAAGAGCACGAGGTCAATCAAGGCGGATATCTATCAACGGGAGAAAATTGTGAATGTAAACACGCCGATTGTTATCAGGTGGTTAGAATCATCGTCCCTCACATGCGTTTTGGCGGACTGGCGTCGGCTATGTTGAATATTGCGTTGTATCCTTGTGAGCAGGGAATGGATGGAATGGCCCCTCCAAAGAAATGTTCACCTCTGCCGTGGTATCATTTTTGAAGCGAGAAGCTCGAAAAAATGCATATTTCTTATGCAATTGTGAAGTGATGAGTGCATTTCAGACTTTGCCGATGCGCTCATCGTGATTTTTGAGACACTTTCCTTAAGCAACAACTTTTATTTTTGCTCTAGCAAAAGTTTGCAACGGGCCCATTGGCCATATATGTCAGGGTAATTTGCAACAAATATGTGCTTCTGCATAGCTAGAACTGAATCGCTACACATAGCATGATTACATTGGCAATACTTACTGTGGCATCCTCAGTGCAACTGATTTTTCTTGGTGATGTGTTGCTTTGTGGCTGCTGTAGTAACTAACTATCTCTTCATCTTTGCTTTCCAGGACTGTAAACTGTTTTATAAAGCTGGACATAGGTTTTCACGGCCAGAATTATTTTTCTGATAGATAAGTGCCAAGATTTTCCATATGAGAGGTATGCGAGCACACATAGGCCTGAAGATGACTCTGAAAAGAATAGTGCCTGTGAAAGCTTTAACATGGAAATTTAGGTCGTAAAAAATATTGATAAATATTTATTCTTAAATCCTAAGTGCAATAATATCTCAAGTAATCATTTCAATCCATAGAATTTATGAAGGTCTATGAATACGTTAAGTTTCCATCCATGTTTTTTAATGTAATATTTTATCTGTTCTTAGGAGATCATGTAGTGCCATTGTACATCCCTCAGTGCAGGGAATGTAAATTTTGTCGTTCGGAAAAAACTAACCTTTGCAGCAAAATTCGTGTAACTCAGGTAACTTAGTATTCCAATGTATCTCCTTATGACCTTGGTGAACTTCTTAATATTTATAATAAAAAAAACAAGAAAAACTGAAACTCTTAAAATGAACTGATAATTCAAGAATGTAAGTTCACTCTTTACTTTTTTATTCATCGTGTATTTGAATATATGTGGCGACAATGGAAGGCAGAAAACTCAATGTCTCGTGTGACAGCAATCATTTTTAGCTTTGCATGCTGTTGTGAGACCAGCATAACTCTTCTTTCTCAAACTGAACTTTTGCCGAAGTGCATATATTGTTTGAAACGGGAGGCTCAGAAACGTGGGCATTGCGATTTTTAAGCCATTTTTCAGACAACTTTTTTTTGTCCTTGTGAAAGTTTTTACAAGACTCATCATCAGATTTTTAGAGCCATGCTCAGATACCTCATGGTATCCTTTCATCCGTATAGATACCTGTATGGCCACGACATATGCGAAAACGCCCGAAAACATGATCAGAGAAAATTGGCTTCAATTGTAACAAAACGAGCTTACTTGTGTATGTGTAGCATGGGTGCATGGGTGCATGGGTCAACTTAATGTTTCCCTAAATTTATTTTTGCTCTTTTCCATCATAAACCAAAAGACATTTTTTGCTAGATTCTTAGTTTTCAAAGGTCAAAACAAGAGCCATCCTGTCTTGCTATTTTCAGACAGTGAAATAATCCTCTTTGTATTTTTCCTTTCAGTAATTTAATTATCCTTTAATTTCCAGGGTAAAGGTGTAATGCCAGATGGCACAAGCAGATTTTCTTGCAATGGCAAAACCTTATATCATTTTATGGGTTGTTCTACCTTCAGTGAGTACACGGTTGTAGCGGAAATTTCCCTTGCTAAGGTAATTTTTACTTTATTTATTTAGACAACTTACATTCTTCAAGTTCTTTGAACTGCATTGCTAAGCAGTAGTTATATATTGATTAGAGGGGTAGAGAAGGGAGAGGGGGAGGTTTAAGTTTGTGCTAAGGGTTGATATTATGATGTAAGTCAAAACTCAGAAAAACAGCGCTACATGTTTTATTGTTGGTTTTCAAAACTTCTCAGGATCAAGTAAACGCAACCTGAAACAAATATTTGAAGTTTTCAGGGATAGTCAAAAACAAAAGGTGAAAAATGTGCAACAAGAATTCTGAGATGTACCCATGAATTTAGAAGTCATTGGATTAAGAGCTGGGTAATTGTTTTTTTGCGGATGAATTTTTGCATTTTGGTTTCTGTTTGGTAGATACGTAGAGGCATTCTTAGCTACTTACAGCTATTGGTTAGGTTAACAGCTTGCAACCAGATCTAATCCACTTGATTTGGGGGGGGGGGTCCCTCTCTTTGGTAGTTAGGTTTTATCTCAAGTTTCATTTTCTTTTTGTTGTTTATTCTCGCAGATTGAACCAAAAGCTCCTTTGAGTAAAGTATGCCTCCTAGGCTGTGGTATTCCCACAGGTTATGGTGCAGCTTTAAATACGGCTAAGGTGGAACCAGGAAGCAACTGTGCTATATGGGGATTAGGAGCTGTGGGTCTTGCTGTCGCAATGGGATGCCAGGCAGCTGGAGCCAAGAATATCATAGGAATCGATGTGAATCCAGACAAGTTTGAAGTTGGTAAGTATGTTAATGCTCATTTAAATTTATGTCTCTATTCTAGTTGCTAAAACCTGTGGTAGAAATCATTTTAATTTTTCACTGTTAATCAGTTTCACAATTTAATCATCATATCTCATTAAGTGCTGAGTCGCCACAACACACAGGAGGATTCAATGTCTGAGGTGTTGGTTCTCCAGTTATCCTATCACGCTCAAAAAAAAATAAATTATTTTGATCTGAGATAGCGGGTGTCCCTTTCGGATCTGTTAGCATGGAAAGACCCACTGAGGAAAAGTTTAGTGTATCTTTCTCCGGGTAGCTGGGAGTATGATGTAATCTCATGTACTAGAATTCTGTTTTTTAAGGTAACGTTATCAGAAGAAAATCAGAAATTATTTTTTGAATCACAATCATAATACATGTTCCCATTTTCTTGCATTGTGTTTGCAGCTAAACAGTTTGGTTGCACTGAATGCATCAACCCCAAAGATTTTTCCAAATCAATTCAGGAAGTTCTCATAGAGAAAACAGATGGAGGACTTGATTATACCTTTGAGTGCATTGGAAATGTTTCTACAATGGTAAGTGTCAACCTTTAAATGGTCATAAACATTGCGAATTGATTTTTTAGTCAACAAAAAAAGTTATTTTCAGAGGTGCATGTTTTAAAAGAAGAAATCAAATTTTAGAAGTAGGTGAGGACACATCTGAAAAAACACTGTTTCGACGAGTAAGAATAAACTGAAAGAAAGTCTAGGAATAATTTTAGCAAATTTTGTAAACCATCATAGTTTTGAACTTATGGTTTTCGAAAAACTAAGAGTCAAGTCAAACCTCAGTAAGTCAGTAATCCCGCCCATAAAACCTAGGATAATGATGCGTCCCCACTCAGTGAGGTTTGACAGTAGCTGTAAGCAGTTGAGTAGCAGATAAAAAAGTTGTTTCTGGAGAAAGTCTGATGAAGGACAAAGTACATTTTGAACAGCCTCTCATGTCATGACGTATCATCCTTGTTTACCCATCCTATTTGGCATTGATGTCTAAAAATACATTAAAGCAGTGAAATTATTTTACAGCGAGCTGCTCTGGAATCTTGTCACAAAGGATGGGGTGTCTCAGTTATCATTGGCGTTGCAGGTGCAGGTCAAGAAATTTCCACTCGTCCATTCCAGCTAGTTACAGGTCGCACATGGAAAGGAACGGCTTTTGGAGGTGCTTTTCTTCCTTTGCTTTTATGTTCTTATTTGCACAACTTTGCCTCACTTCCTGGAATTTAGTGTTTTTGGAAGTAAGAAGTCTTCAGAACTCTGCAACATGACATTGGCTTTAGCTATATTAGCATTTTTCAATTCTAAACTCGATTGGAGAAGTATGATTGAGGGACTTGGAGGACAAGGCGCATAAGTGTCGTTTTTGCCGTTTCAAGAAAATTATATGGAGTCATATGACGAGAAGAAAGTTCAAACTGACTTTTTGATGCTTAAAAATTGGAATTTGGGAATGAATTTTTCACAGAATATGTATGCATTAAGACTAGTTTTACTTGAAAACATTAATAAGTCAATTTTTTCAAGAACTGCTTTTACGCACATTGTCCTCCAAGCTCCTCAATTACGGAAAGAAAATCTTACCAAGTCAAAAGAGTTAGGAATCAAAAACAAAAACGCTGAAACATTTCAATTTAAGTTTTACATTAGTTTGAATGAAGAAGAAAATAATTGAAATCACAGGCAGAGCCATCATGACCTCTCCTTGTCAGGCAAGTTGAAAGCTTAGAGTCACATCTAGTGATTAGAGTTACATTGAGACCAAATTGGTAAGCAGTCTGCTTTCATATCACGCCGATGTCATATAGAGTCCAGCAGAAAATGCCTCATCGTAGAGAAGTTAGCATAATTTTTTCAAAATTTATCTGTACATTTTCATATGGTTACATGACCCTTTCATTCAATTCTCAGGATGGAAGAGCAAGGACAGTGTACCTCGTCTTGTGGAGCAATACCTGGCCAAGAAATTGAAATTAGATGAATTTATCAGTCATGAGCTGCCATTTGAGAAAATTAACGAAGCCATTGATTTATTACATTCCGGAAAAAGGTTAGTAATTCAGGAATCTAATTTACATAATGACAAAAGAGATGAGTCGTAAAAGATTAATTTCAAATTACTTGCCTTTTTTTAGCTCACTATCTGATACCATGAAATCTGTTCGGTACATGACATTGGAGGTTGTCTTCTATAGAGTGTAAGAAAAGGAAGCATCTAAGCTGCTTAAGAGCCAATGCCCTTGTCTTATCTGTATTTTTCAGCCTAATGGACCACTAGACAAGGTACGAATTTCAGCATTCTGATACATGTGTCTTCACCAAAATTTCTCATGAAACACGGTGCGCACAACGAAAATTACCGAAATCAACTCCTTCCAAAGATATTTAATGATTCTTGGTGCGTGAATTCAAACCACCCGCTCATGAAAACTCAATGCTCTACGTGATTCACATCGCGCGCTAAACATTATCCTGAACGTCTCTACAATAAAAAAATGTGGCAGCCTCAATCTTGACACTTTGGCTCAGCTATGGAAAATTCGTTTGAAAAACACATGGTGGGAAATGAACATTGCTTAATTGAGAAGCTTGCTGAAACCGTTGTAGTGCGCGATTTGACTCACGTAGAGCTTTGAGTTTCTTGTGAGCGGGCAGCCCAAATTCCCCGTAACCAATGTGAAATAAAAATGTTAATATCTCCGTCAGAAATTGGTTTCAGTAATTTTCGTAGCGTGAATTGTGTTCTACGTGAAATTCTGGTAAAGAAACATGTATCAGAATGCTTAAATTCGTACCTTGTCTAGTGGTCCATTACTAAAAGTAATATCAAATTATGCTGGCAGGATGTCCAAAATTTCACTTAATGAGATACAAGCAGACTTCAACAGATAAGGGCCGAGCAAGTAAGAATTCTTTAGATAAGGCACACTCCTAAGCGTTTTCGAAGCAGGGGCAGTGCAAGCCGCACACCCTGAACAAGTTTTGTTCTCATCCTGTGAGCAGTGAATTTTGGGCTTCGGTCAGTTGCAATAAGTTAACTTCAAATATGCCGTAATGATTAGCTGTGCATAGCTGAGACCTTAGTGAATGTTCCAAATAGCATAGCAACATGTAGGTGTTGCTTTTTACATTCAGTTCGAGCTAGATCAACACCCAAGCTGTACGCAAAGGTGTGCAGGCTAGTAGCACAGCCTGCACGCAACTGTTCACCGGCCTTGTGCATAAGAAATGCTAGTGTGTGTATTCAGCCTAGGAATGTTTTGGTAAGATTGAGACCAGTAATCCTGTTTAGCCTGAATTGTGCAGGAAACGCATGTTATTGCACTGAATGTCTGTTTATCGGAAAACACTTCCCTGAAATTTGGAAATTTAGTCACCCCAGAATTTAGAAAATGATATTTCCTTACACATTTTGACATACTCTTCGACAATCAAAGTTATATCAGATGGTTAAATTTGAAATAGTTTTCAGGCTTAATTCGTTGTTGAAACGTCAAACCCGTTCTAGAAATCAAGTGTAGGTGTCTGAAAACTATTTCGGTGACACTCTCGTCTTTTCCCCTAACTTCTTAAAATTCTCTGTCATTTCCCGATATTCCAATGTGGCAACCCTGGAAATTTCATAGTCTTGTGCTTAATGGCATTACATTAACGACTGCTGAACTTTTAAGATCACCTAAGGTAACAGCACCAGTACTTGGAATGGTACCAGTATCCGGAAATTTGCTCAGTTTTTCGTAAAAAATAAGCGGTAGGTACATCAGTGCAAAAAGGGCATCAGGTTTTCACAAATTACACTCAGAGGGCGCCCCTTTGCAATAAGTGTGATGGTCGTGCGCTCCTTCTATTATCTGTACCATGCTTCTATAGTGACGTATTCACAAAGCGGCTCTGTGAATACGTCACTGTAGAAGCATGGTACAGATAATAGAAGGAGCGCACGACCATCACACTTATTGCAAAGGGGCGCCCTCTGAGTGTAATTTGTGAAAACCTGATGCCCTTTTTGCACTGATGTACAAGCGGGATCGTTATTCCTGCGAAAAATAGTTTTCCGTAACCCGCCATACACTTTAGTGCACCGCTATAGTGGCCACAGAATAATATCTCTCGTAGCGACTCTACATTCACGACTTATCAGTTATCAGCGATTGGGAATCCCACGTTTATTTTCTTGCTTTTTTCCTCTTTCCCCTACTTTCATCGTTGTCTCCTCGGTCGGGCCAGTCGGTGATAGCTGTCTTTGAGGCTTCCCTCCGGTTCCATATCTGTTTCCAATTCTTCACCACACCGCAATCGGTGACGAGGCGTGATTAATCGATTATCGATATTTCTCCATTTGAAGCCATGGTAAAGAATCGAT